CTGCTCCTCTGATGCTGCTTGGCCTGCTGTGTTCACCCAGCTCTACACCTTGTTGTCTCGCTAGTTAGCTGGAGTTTTCTGTAGAGTTCTGGTCACCACATTTACAGGAAGGAAGTAATATCTCTAGTGAGAATACAGAGGAAATTTACAAGAATGTTACCAGGGTTAGAAAAATTGAAGCTATGAGGAAAGATTGGATAGATTAGGGTCATTTTCCTTAGAACAGAGGAGGTGGTTTAAACAAGGCGTACAAAATAACAAGGGGATGTGGGTAGAATGGCCAGGGAGACTTGTTTTCTCCTAACAGACAGGTCAATTTCTGAGGGGTATGGACTTAAGGTGGCTGGCAGCAGGATTAGAGGGGACATGAGGGAAAACCTTTTCACCCAGAGACTGGTGGGAGTCTGGAATTTGCTCAGTTCGGTGTTGGAGGCTGGAAACCCCCTCAACGCGTTTAAAACGAACCTGGGTCTGCCCCTGAAGAGCTGGAACTTGCGAGGCTATGGACTGAGTGGTGATAAATGGGATTTGAATGGGCAGCTAAGTTTACTCAGCGCAGAGACGATGGGCTGAATGGCCCCTTTCTGTGCTGCAACATTTCAATGGTAGCTTCTTTGTTTCAGAGAAGGAATCCTCTGTCTCCTGTCCTACGCATGCATGCAGTTCAGTAGCTGTGAGCTTGGGGATGCTTTTGGGACTGGAAGCTCCAAGTGTCTGTCTCTACTGCAGATCTCCCCGCACCTCCCCACCCAGCTTCAAACCCCCACACACACCCCTCCCCCTCCCCTTCCCCTTCCCCTTCCCCTTCCCCATTCCTGGGAATATTAATGAAATAATGCTTGTCTCCTGATCCATCTTGTGATTTGAGATCTTTTATCTTTCCCCTGTCTTAATGAATGCTCTGAATAACACTTGGGCCCTGAAAATACAGGACTTGTGTTTGTATAGTGCCTTTGCGCAATCTGTGGATTTTTTTTTTAAACCAACCCACCCTTCCTTGAAGCAATGAGTAGCCTGCTCCATGTTTTATGGGTTGAACAGAGGTTTCCAAACTAGTGGCCTCTGCCACTGCCAACTGAGTAGATAGCCAAGGCCACCCTCCAGCAACTACCCCCCCCCAAAAACTTTCCACTCCCTCAGTTTCCACACTGGGAGTGTTGATGGGTTGGGGCTGTGAGTGGGGCATGTTGGGTCGGGGGTGCAAGTGGGGCATGTTGGGTGGGGAGGGCGGGGGGGGGG